TTTTCAAGAAGTTGTCAACTATAAAAATGAAGCTCCAGTTTTGTTTCGTATATTTTGAAATTTTCAAACAAATCGAAAAAGTGTGAGCTAGATTTTCAGACAGTCAAAAATTGTAATTTTGACCAAAATTACGAAATTTCGACTTGTCTTCAGGAAAATTGGCATATCTCCCTAGGACTCAATTTTTCAAAAAAGGTGTTAACTACAAAAATGAAGCTCTATTTTTGTTCATTGTACATTGAAATTTTCAGACAAATGGGAAGAATATGAAATATTTTTGTAGTGATTTCAAAACTCAACAATTTCTAATACAAATAAGCAAATTTCCAAGAGCCGCATCTCCCTTCATAGTTGCCCAATTTTTGTAGTTCCAATTCAAACCAAACAACAAAGACTATAAAGACTACGAACTACGAACTACACACTACTGTAATTCTTCAGGTCGCACCCAAACGATTCGAATCCACGTGGAAGACGTCGATGAGCCGCCGAGTTTTGTGAATTCTCCACTTCCGATGCTGGCAGTTGTACCGTTGAATCCAACAATCGGAAGAATCATTTATCAATTTGTGGCCCGGGATGAGAATGGAGACGGAGATTCAAATGTACAGTATAAGGAGATTGATGTCATTCGTTAGTTTCTTTTTATATTCCAGGAAATTCCCAAAAAAATATACTTAAAATTTAAAAAAAAAACGTTTTTTTAATCCTGAAATCTCTAGAAATCTGAAAGTCTGAAATTCTGAAAGTTGAAAAAAATAAGAAATCCAGAAACCTCAAAACCCCATCTTTTCTCCAAAATCGATTCCGAAATTTGCGAAAATTAGGAAGATTGATTTTGAGATTCCCGAGAATTCAGAAAATTTGAAAATTTGAAAGTTCCGAAAATCGAATCTTCAGAAAATTCGACTCAACGTTTAGGCCATGATTTTTTGGAATTTTTCATTTTATTGAATTTATAGAATTTTTTGATTTTTTGAATTTTTGATTTTTTGAAAAAAAAAAATTTTCATGACCTACTTTTTTTTCTAGGTCATAACCTAATTTTTTCTAGGTCATGAAATTTTTTTTTTTTTCTAGGTCATGAAATGTTTTTTTTTTTTCTAGGTCATTTTTTTTTTCTAGGTCATGAAATGTTTTTTTTTTTCTAGGTCATTTTCTAGGTCATTTTTTTTCTAGGTCATTTTTTTTCTAGGTCATGAAATTTTTTTTTTCAAAGTTTCGAATTTCAGCAGCCGGTTCCTTCTCAGTGGACTCGAAATCAGGCGTCGTTCGAACGGGATGGAGTAAATATGAGAAGGGAGAAACCTACCGTATCTCAATTCAAGCCATTGATATGACACCATCTGATAACTCCACGTCACAGTTATCAGAAGTGGCGATTTTGGAAATTCTGGCTGATGAACGACCTCCACAATTCGCGAAACAAGAATATGAAGTAGCGGTTTCCGAGGATATTTTGGTGGATTATAGGTTAGCAACTCCAAAATTTGAGATTCTGAAAATTAAAAAAATCTTAGAATCCTAACATTTCAAAAATCCGAAATTTTTGAAAATTCTCAAAAATCTGAAATTACATATTTTCTTTCTTCAAGACGCTTTTAGAACTCAGCCCTGGAACTCCTTAGAGCCTTAGAACTCTTTCTGGATCTCTCAAAATTCTTCACAGAACCTTCTAGAATCATATTTTTAGAACACCCTAAATCCTGTAATAAAAGGGCTCGCTGACTTTTAACTTTGACCTAATTTATCTCAGTTCCTGTTGAAGATATAAAATAGGTGTCAACTGATAAAATGTTTATCATGATATCAGCAACATTTTATCAGTTTTCCACTTTTTGATATCTCTTATAAGAACCGAGATAATTGAGCTCAAACTTGACAGTGTGGAGACCACACTACAAAATTTTTTAAGCCTCAGTAAAAACTTAATAGCGCTATAACTCGGCTAGTTTTAGAGCTATTAGAGTCGTTTTTGGCTAAAAATGCTGGAAATTTCAATGGCTACAAACTACAAAACCCTTCTTTGTACTTCCCAAATCTTTCAGTGTCGTCGACGTCAAAGCTCAATCATTCCGATCAATCGAAGACGGACGATCAAAAGGACCCATAACATACTCACTGGAATCAGGAGATTCCTCTTCTTCAAATGAAATGAAATCGTTTCGAATCGATCCATCAACAGGAATCGTTCATTTGACGAAAGAATTGGATTACGACGATCCAGCACTTCCAAAGAGTCATCAATTCAAAGTCACCGCCAGAGAAGACAATCGGGAGAGCCACGTGGCATTGAGAATTCGAATTGAAGACGTCAACGATAATGTTCCAATGTTCACACGTCCTCTGTATACAGCACAAGTTCGAGAGGATATTCCCTTGAATCAGACTATTTTGAAAGGTTTGTTTCTTTTAAAACATTTACAAAAGTGCTACAAATGATTTCAATGTTTCTGAAAATTCGTTCAAAAATGGCGATTTTTGGCCGTCTGAAAATTTAGCTCAAATTTTTTGGATTTGCCCCTGAATCTTGCTGAGTTTACTAAACAAAACTAGAACTACATTTTCCTAGTTGACAACTTTTTTGGACAATCAAGTCCTGGGAAGATATACCAATTTTTCAGAAGCAAGCCATCATTTTGAATTTTTAGGCAAAATAAGGCATTTTTTGGCTAGTTGAAAATCTAGCTTAAACTTTTTAGTTTTGCTAGAAACTTTGTGAATATACTAAACAAGGGTAGAGCTTCATTTTTGTAGTTGACAACTTTTCTGAATAATTAGATCCTGAGGAGATATGGCCACGTGGAAATGTCTATCTTTAGGCGCCCACCTTCGCAAAGGAGATGGGCGCGGGCGCCAAGAGGGCGCCGCCCACCAAGAGGGTTGGCGCCACGGAAGGATGCTTCCACGAAGCATATCTTCCCAGGACTTAATTTCTCATAAAGTCTTTTACTACCAAAATGAAGCTCTAGTTTTGTTTAGTATACTCTGAAAATTTTAGCAAAATCCAATAAGGTTTAGCTAGATTTTACGATAACCAAAAAACCTCATTTTCGACCTAATTTGAAAATTTTTGCCTTGGTGAATCTCAAGCTTTTGGAACGGCATATAATTCGGAGGGTGCAACAATTCGGGGGTACAAAGGGGTACAACGTGATTCGGGGGTACAAAATACCGGGAAAAAGGCTTAGTTTGTACCCCCGATTTGTTGGTTTCGTACCCCTAAATCATGTTGTACCCCCTTGTACCCCCCGAATTATTTGCCTTTTGGAACTTTATAATTTTAGAATAGACAAACTACGCTTTCAACTATGAACTATAAAAACTGCAAACTACAAATTAGATCCAAAAATGGCTGAACGGATGTTTGAATGACGGAACTTTGCAAAATTCAAAGACTACAACTTTTTCAGTTACTGCTATCGATAAAGATTCTGGAGAAAACGCGCGTATCACCTATTCGCTGGACAATCAGAATTTCTCAATAAACGAAAATGGAGAGATTGTGCAAAAATCCGTCTGGATGCAGATCAATACAACGAGAGACATTTCGTTTATCGATTCAATGTGACCGCCCGTGATCATGGAACAAATCAGCTGAGCAATACGGCAATGGTACACATTCGGACAGAGAATACCAACGATGAAAGTGCCGTATTCCTGCCAACGAGTCATTACACAGCGTTTGTGGCCGAGGATGCTCAAGGAGGAACACCTGTTATACAGATACAGGTATGCGTAGTTTGTAGTTTGTAGTCTAAAAAATTTCCAACATTTTGAGACAAAAATGAGAGTTGTAGGATGATTTTGAGTCGAGTTATGAGCAATTTAGAAAAACATTGAAAATTTTATAAACTAAAATTTTTTGGTTTTTTTTTCAATTGAAATATTTTTAAAAGATTTTTTATGATTTTTGGAAACAAATATTTGTAGTTTGTAGTCTAGAAAATTTCCAACATTTTGAGACATAAATAAGGATTCTAGGATTGTTTTGAGTTGAGTTATGGATACCAGTAAATTTACGCCCCTCCGGGGTTGAACCTCATGGGCTCCGCTTACAGTACCCGTAATCTCATGAAGAGGTTTCGACACTTTTATTCAGGGAATACTTTTTCGGGGTTTAGAAGCTTTAAAGGTGGGGGGACAGGAGATTTTACGGGGGATTTTTGGGGCCAGAGTATGCATTCTACCGTAACGGTGTACAACGCTTAATGTCACTCTGCGTACAGCTGTCGTCCTCGCCTTTATGTTTGCAATCGGGCGTGCGCTTTCTCTTTGCCCGCGTGGCTCAGTCGGTAGCGGCGCCGCACCCTCAATCATCGCCCTCACAAGTTCAACTCCTCGAGGGGCATATTTAAACGGAATTTCGAGAACATTATTTTTTTCATGTCCCCCCACCTTTAAAGGGTCACGTAAAGCGTTTTTATTTTTCAAGCTTTTCAAAAGCTGACATCCTTACATGGGGACCAACAGACGCGTGTAGCGTTTCATATATTTTGTCTAATGATAAACTGTGTATCAAAACATCACCAATATTTTATCAGTTAATCAGTTTTTGATATCTTTCAGAATAACCGTGAAAATTGAGCTCAAAGTTGGCGGTACAGGTAAGCGTCTATTAGAACAGGTCTCACAATAACCTGTCAATTATGTGCCCGCTAATCCGACATATGAACCCCTTCAAAACTCGCCTCGACAAGTTCAACTCCTCGAGGCGCATATTTAAACGAAATTTCTACAACATTATTTTTCTCATGTCCCCCCACCTTTAAGAAATTGAGATATTCATAGTTTCACAATGTGTGGGCTTTCTTCTCCCTCTCCCTCTCTCCCCTCCTACCTCGTCCTCCGCGCCCTCCACCCTTCACTGCGGTGAAACCTAAGGAACGTCTCCAGAAGACTTCCAAAACGGAATCTCGAAAAACGGAAAGTTCGGACATCAACTAATAAAAATGTCTGATTCGCCTGCGCAGGTTTCAGCTCAATCGGTAAACTTTGAATGGGTGACCAGGCACGCGACATACATCCTTACATGCGGAATTTGGAGAATGTTATTAGTAATGATAAAGATTTCTCCAAATTTACCATAACTCGCCCCAAAATCATCATACCAACCTCATTTTTATACCAAAACTTCTCAAATTTCTTGTAGTTTGTAGTTTCTATATTCCCAAACTTTCAGGCCCGTGACGCGGACCGTGACGAAGTCACCTACTCATTCATGGACAAGAATCAGCGATCAACTCAAACAATGAATCTATTCACAATCGATCAACACACAGGACTGGTTAAATTGAGGCATGGAGTGACTCCAATAGATTTGGCAGAAGCTGAAAATCCTATAAATTTGACTGTAATCGTGGAGGACGATGGATCTTGCTGTGTGTATCCATCCAAAACTCATGCTTCCTATGCGACATTGCTCATTGGGATTGAGGATGTGAATAATAATAAACCAGAGTTTCCAGGTACGTTATTTGTCTTTCAATTAAGATTTTGAGCTTGAAATTCTATTCATTTTCGTACAAATTCCAGAAAAATCGGTTCAAAATTTAGATTTTTATAGTGCAAAATCGATTGGAAATTAGGAAAAAGCGTATATACTTTGTTCAAAGCTAATTATCTTAGCTTCTAAAAAAGATTTTAACAAAAAGGAAATCACAAAACTGTTTAAAATGAAATTTTACACATTTTATTAGTTGATAACTGTTTTGTATCTTTTTTAGTAATTGAGATAATTAGCGTTAAACCTGCTTAAGATAATTATCTCTCACTAGAAATCTCGCTTCTTAATTTAGAACCCACGGAAATATTGCTCAAACTTTTCTGATTTTTTTGAAAGTTTCAGAAAATACAAAACAAAACTAGAGCTTTATTTTTGTAGTTGACACTTTTTTTCGAAAATCGAGTCCCAGGAAGATATACCTATTTTCCTAATTAAGTCAAAAAATCTGAGGTTTTGTTCAAAATGACTTTTTTGGCTCTCTGAAAATTTTACTCAAACTTTTTGAATTGGCTTGAAACTTTGTGAGCATACTAAACAAAACAAGAGCTTCATTTTTGTAGTTGATAACTTTTTAAAATGAAGTTCTAGGGAAATATGCTAATTTTTCCAAAATGAGTCGAATTTTTACAATTTTCGCAAAAATCGACCGCTTTTTTGACTGTCTGAAAACCTAGGTAAAGTTTTTTGGATTTGTCTGAAAATCTGGAAATATACAGAACAAAACTGGAGCTTCATTTTTGTAGTTGACACTTTCTTCTGAAAATCGAGTCCTAGGGAGATATGCCACGTGGAAGCGGCCGTCTTTCTGGTAACGCGGGCGCCAAACGTGGGGTCGGGGGGAGCCTTGAGCTGGTGGGCGCCTGCGCAAGAAGGGTACTTCTACGTGGCATATCTCCCCAGGACTTGATTTTTGGAAAAAGTTGTCAACTACAAAAATGAAGCCCTAGTTTTGTTTAATATACTCTGACATTTTCAGCCAAATTTGACTAGTTTGAAATACTTTTGTAGACGCTTGAATCATTTTTGAAACACTATAGCTTTCTGTGTAGCTAGCAAACTGATTCCAAAGAAGTTTGTACGGTGAAATATGGAATGTTTTGGAAAATAAAATTACAGACTGCGCCCGATACTCAGAGATTGCGAAAATCATGGAAGGAACCTATAAATCGGACCCACCAACAATAGTAAAAGTGGAAGCAACAGATGATGATTCATCAGCGAATGGAGATATCGTATATTCATTGTATTACACACAATCGGAGAGTCGAAAAGCATTTGTGATAGATAGACATACGGGAGTGTTAACACCATCCCCGCATGTTGTATTCGATCGGGAGACACGACCACGAGAGGATGTTACCGTTAAGGTAGGGCTACAAACTACAAGAATTCTCCTTGAAGAATATTCTGGAAGGTCCAACCTTCTGCATTTTCAAGCAAGCTAGATCCTAACAAGTGAAAAAATCTTAGATTTTGAAATTCTGGAGATTTTGGGATGCTAGAGACCATATCTGCTATAATAAAAACCCACCCAACTTTGAGCTTATATATCTCGGTTACTGTAAGAGATATCAAAAATTAGTAAACTAATAAAATGTTGCTGATATCATGATAAACAATTTATTAGTTGACAATTTTTTGATACCTCTTACAGGAATTAAGATAAATTAGATTGAAGGGAGAGGTGCCCCCCCCCCCCCCTCTTTGCCCCTTACCCCTCGGGAGGTCCGACTACTTTGAGCTCAATTATCTCGGCTCCTATAAAAAATATCAAAAATTAGTAAACTATTAAAATGTTTGTGTTAATTTGATAAAGATTATATCAGTTGACAACTTTTTGATAGCTCTTACAGAAATTGAGATAAATAAACTTAAAGGGACAGCCCCCCCCCCCCTCTCGGGAGGTCCCATTACTTTGAGCTCAATTATCTCGGCTCCTCTAAAAGATATCAAAAATGTGCCAATGGATGAAATGTTTATCATAATATCACCAATAATTTATCAATTGACCGACTTTTTTATCTCAAACAAAAGATAAATTGGCTCAAAGTTAAAAGCTAGATTTTTCCAGGCAACAGATCGAGGTGATCGTCCACTGATTGGATTTTGTCAATTCTCGGTTGAAGTCGTCGACGTGAATGACAATGCTCCACAATTCGAACGTCCATCCTATGAGACTTCTGTCTCTAGATTCGAAGCGATTGGAACATCTGTGATTACTGTGTTTGCGTTCGATAACGATGCAGCACACAATGCAGAGATTTCCTATAAACTGGAAGTGGACACGACAGCAGGTGAGCAATAGTGAACTACAAACTACAAAGCATTTTACACATCTTAGTATAAATATGAGATTTCTAGAATGATTTTGAGCCTAGTTATGGGCAAAATCCATTTTTGTTCGGAATTTTATGAATTTTTTGGAAAAAATTTTTAAAAATTAAAATCTTAGACCAAATTGTTTTGCATGAAAATTTCAAAATATACTGAACAAAACTAGAGCTTCATTTTTGTAGTTGACACCTTTTTTTAAAAATGAAGTTCTAGGAAGATATGCCACGTGGAAGCGTCCTTCCCTCTCCCAGAGCCCTGTGGCAGGTGGGCGGCGCCCACTGGCCGCCTGCACTACCGGAAAGAAGACCACTTCTTCGTGGCATATCTCTACAGGACTTGATTTTTCAGAAAAGTTGTCAACTACAAAAATGAAGCTTATATTTTACTTAGTATATGCTGAAAATTTCAAAAAAATTCAGACAATTTGAATACCTTTTGTAGAAAGGCAAATTTTTCCAGGAGAAGAGCATCAAAACGACATTGAATTTTTCGAATTGGTCAATAGAAGATCCGGAGAAATCACTCTAATTAAGCCAATCCCAATGCGAACCCAAAAATTTGTCTTCAGTGTGATCGCCGATGATAACGGAGTTCCAGAATCCCTAGAATCCACGTCACAAGTGATTCTGAATGTGCTGGATAAACAACAAAAAGCCCCGAAATGGCACAGCTCCCCAGACTGCAAACCGGGGATTACTGTAGCTGAGAATGTGGAAATGAATAAAGTGATACTGAGGTGTCGTGCCACGTCATCTGGAGACAATAAGAAGAGTGACGTCATCTATAAATTGACGGCTTCAGCCGGTGGACATGGAAATTCAAAGGCGGAGTCAAAATTTCGGCAATTTAACAAGTTTGAAAATGGAAATGAATGGGTTGAAGTGGCGATAATGGAGCCATTGGATTATGAGCAGATCAATAATTATACACTGACACTAACGGCTACGGTAGGTGTTTTAGATTTTTGAAAAAAAATTCAAAAAAAATTTTTTTTTTCAAACATTTTTTTTAGTCTTGACCCAATAAATCAATCAATTATCGATTTTTGCAGGACATGACATCACATGTAGCTTCAACGAAGACATTTATAGTGGAAGTGATGGATGTGAATGATGTCGTTCCCCAATTTACAGTGGATTTGTTCACAGGGACCATTGACGAGGAAATGACACCGAATGAGTATTTGGAGAAGTGAGGAATCTGGAAATTAGTGAACTTGATGAAAATCTGAAAATAAAATAAAATTTTTCATAAACCAAACCTAATTTCCAAGAAATTGGTTCACTAGAACCCTAGTTATGTCAGTTTTCAGAGTTAATTACTTTGACCTTAATTATCTCAAGTCCTAATTAAGGTAACTTAAAATATTAAATTGGAAATGTGTGTAAAATTGAGTTTCACACATTTTACTAATCAACAATTTTTTAGTACCTCTTTTAGGAATCGAGATAATTGGGCTCACACTCCCCTGACCTAATTAGCCCTATTTCGTGTCAGGTGACTTTGACCTTAATTATCTCAATTTCTAGCAAAGCTACACAATAGTGATTAATTAATAAAATGTAGGAAATTTAATTTTGCACATTTTTGTCGTTAATAACTTTTTTGGAGGGAAGAGGGGCGGCTGGCAGCGCGCGGGCACATGTGCTCTCTTTAAATCTAATTATCTCTGTAACTGTTCTAGCTAGACAAAAGTGATTAACTGATAAAATGTGTAAAATTAAATGTTGCACATTTAACTAGTTTGTAGTCTTGCAGTATCTCTTTTAGAAACCGAGATAACTCAAGTTAAAGTTGACGCGTTCAGAAAGACGCGATTAATTGTGTCACAGGACTTTGACCTCAATTATCTCAGTTTTTAGCAAAGATACAAAACAGTAATCAACTAATAAAATGTTGAAAATCAAATTTTACACATTTTCCTAGTTGAAAACTTTTTGATAAATTTTATAAGAACCAAGATAATCAAGAATTAAAATTTGAAAATAATACATCTTAATTTTTTGCTGTACCTCATTTTCCAGTACCCTGAAGACGTCAGAATCAAAAATTTTTCTAGAAATTCAAAATTTCATCTTGAATTTCAATAAATTTCCTATAGACTCCTATGAAAATATTAAGAATTGTTCAATTTTTACAAAAGTTATAGACAATTGAAAATCAGAAATTCGAAAATTTGTAGTTTTCGAAAAAAAAAGTTTTGTGGAATTTTTTTTCCGCATTACTGTACCTTTAAAATTCCCAATTTGTTTCAGAATGAATGGAAAGCCAATAGTAACCGTAAAAGCGATTGACACGGATTCCGATGGTCCACAGAATGAAGTACACTATCGAATTGTCGGTGAAGCGAATGGAGAGGAAACCAAACATTTTCGAGTTGATGAATTGACTGGAGAAATATTCCCAAATGAAAAGTTAGTTAATTGATATTGAAAAGGAAAAAATTTCGTATAATTAGGTGAAGATTAGATGAAAATCGGTTCACTATGAAGAAAGTTATAGGGAATTTAAAAGAAAAAAACCCAAAGTTTTTTTTTCCAATTTTCAAACTTTAAAAAAAATATATTAATCTAATTATACTTAATTGACCTAATTAGTCTAAATTGAAATTTTAAAGATTGTTGCTGATCTTTAATTATAACGAAAAATCCCAAAAATTTCAGGTTCGATCGCGAAAAAGTCGACATGTACATTTTGAAAGTTGAAGCTAGCGATCGCTCGATTTCCGCGTTGCCTGGAGCAAATGGACCAAATAAGGGTAAGACTCCAAACTACAAACTACAAAAAACATACAAAAAACCGAAAATTTTGGTCCAGAAATGAGTTTTGTACGATGATTTTGAGTCGAGTTATGGCTCATTATTAATCAATTTTTAGCAGATTTTTGGAGACTACAAAGACTACAAAGACTACAAACTACAATTCCAGATAATGTAAAAGTGCAAATCGTTATCAATGATGTGAATGACAATGCACCATCGTTTGAGGAGTCGAAATATATCGGAAGAGTCAAAGAATCTGAAGGCGAAGGGCATGACGTCATCACAATCAAGGCGCACGACTTGGATAAGCGTAAGTGCGCTCTATTGAGAATTCTTGATGTGTTTTTTAAAATTTTTAATTGGAAATAGCTCAAAATTGCTCAGTTACCCAATGTAAATCTGTTGGTTTTGAAGAAATTTATTAATTTTGAACAACAATTTTTGATTGGCTACAATAGTAGGTCAAAATTTGTCTGAAAATTTCAGAATATACTAAAAAAGACATGTGCTTCAATTTTGTAGTTGACAACTTTTTTGAAAAATTAGGTCCTGAGGAGATATGCTACTTGGAAGCGTCCTTCTCACTTCTATGACGCCACCCCTTTGACAAGTGGGCGGCGCCCACTGGATGGCCGCGCTACCGGAAGGAGGACAACTTCTACGTGGCATATCTCCTTGGGACCTAAGTTTTCGAAAAAGTGGTCAACTAAAATAATGAAGCTCTACATTTGTTTAGTGTACTCTGCAATTTTCAGACAAATTGAAACATTTTGAATGTCTTTTGTAGGCACCTAACAGATGGTGTATCTGGGCGCGCTCATTTTAAGTTTGTCGGTCTAGCAAATGCGCTCTATTGAACACACCAAACAATTATTTCAACAAAAAAATTCAGATTCCAACCTCCGCTACCATCTAATCGGCTCGGGAGGCGGTCGAATCCCATTCGGTGTTCGTACGGATTCTGGAACAATCTTTGTCAAGGAACCATTGGATTTTGAATCCGCAGATCAATATCATTTAATCCTGATTGCCTCTGACGGGAGACACAACGCAACAACAAATGTCTATATACATATAGAAGACGTCAATGATAATGCACCACAATTCGAACAACAAAAATATGCAACTACAGTAATCGAGGAGGATGTGGATGTCCCCAAAGTGTTGTTCAATGTCCGGGCGACAGATGCGGATCAGGATGAGAAGAGCAGTCGAATTGTGTATCGATTGGAGGGTCAGGGAGCGGAGGAAGTGTTCAGAATTGGGAAGTATTCTGGAATGATTGAGCTGGTGAAGCCGTTGGATAGAGATCCGCCCACCGGCGTGCCTAGTTGGAATTTTGTGGTCCAGGCGATTGATGATGATGGCATGGGGCTGGTGGGGTATGCTGATGTACAGGTGGGCGGATTTTTAGGATTTTTAGAGTACTGTGGATATTTTTAGAGTAATTAAAATTTCCAAATTTCCAGGTCAACGTCCGTGACATCAACGATAATTCTCCAATATTTCCGGAACGTCTTTTCGGATTCATTGAGGAGAATCGAGAACCCATTCGTGAGTTTTTCAATTAATTCCAGGAAAATATTTAGAATTCAAAACAAAAATTTTTCAAAGTCACGAAAATCTGAATTTCGTCTGAAAAAAAATCGAGGAAACTTGGAATTTCCAGAATCCTTAAAACCCTCGAATTTCAAAATAAATAATTGTTTCAGATTCCGACGGCGTCTATTTCATGGATGTGCAGGCTCGTGATTTTGATGATCCGACGACGGAAAATGCGAATATTGAATATGGAATTGTTAGGAATAAATTGATCGATGGAGAGCCTGTTTTTCGAATCGATCAGAATACGGGGAAGATTTTCGCAATGGTGAGTCTTTGATTTTGCAAAATTGGTCAAAAATGAGGAACTTTTTGCCTGCTTGAAAACCTAGCTCAAATTTATTCGATTTGTCTGAAAATTTCATTGTTAACTAATCAAAATTAGATTTTCATTTTTGTTGTTGACACCTTTTTCGAAAAATCAAGTCCTGGGGAGATATGCTAATTATTCCAAAATGAGTCTAAAAATTGCAATTTTCATGAGGCATTTTGGGTTGTCTGAAAATCTAGCTCAAACTTTTCCAATTTTTTTGAAATTTTCAGAATATACTAAACAAAAATACAGCTTCATTTTTGTAGTTGACCACTTTTAATAGAAACCAAGTCCCAGGGATATATTTCGCTTTTCCCAAAATGAGCCTAAAAATTGCAATTATGGTCAAAAATGGTTTCCTTTTTGGCTGCCTTTAAATCTAGCTCAAACGTTTTTTGAAAATTTTTGAATATATTAAACAAAACTAGGGCTTCATTTTCATAGTTGACTACTTTTTTTGAAAAATTAAGTCCTGAAGAGATATGTCACATTTTTCAAAATAAGCGAAAAATTGCAATTTTCACCGAGAATGAGGCATTTTTGGGTTGTCTGAAAATCTAACTCAAACCTTTCCAATTTGACTGAAAACTTCAGAATATACTAACCAAGACAAGGGCTATATTTTTGTAGTTGGCCACTTTTTTGAAAAATCATGTACTGAGGAGATACGCCACGTGGAAACGCTTACCCCCTCGCTGGTGGGCGTTGGTGAGCGCGCCTCCAGGTATGCCCTCTTTCAGAAAGCATATCTCCTCGGGACCTGATTTTCCAGAAAAGTTGTTAACTGCAAAAATGAAGCTCTAGTTTAGTTCAGTATACTCTGAAATTTATTGTAGGTCCTCAAAATTATTGATTCTTTTTCTACAGTTTATCTCACTAATACTTCAAAACTAACCCTTTTTCATTAGGATTTTAAGCGATTTTCAGCGTTCCCTGGATCGTGAAATGGCATCGGAGCGAGAATTCATAATTGAAGTGCGAGCGAACGATCGAGGTGTTCCATCACGAGAGGGCTTTGCAAATGTCACCATCAAAGTGACTGATATGAATGATAATGCGCCATTCTTTGAGAAGGTAAGCTGAATTTCTAAACGTTCTGAAAATTTGAGAAATATTGAGCCAAAAATCGCAAAAAAAAACGGATGACAATAAGCCGAGTTACAGCGCTTCGAAGTTTTACTGAGGCTTAGAAACTCTTGTAGTTTGTAGCTTCTTAGCCTCGGTAAAAACTTAAAATGCATGTAACTCGGCGAGTTTTCATCCGTTTTCAGTGATTTTTGGCTCAAAATTTAGCTAATTAAAAGAAGAATTCTCATTTTTAAGAATAAAAGAGTTTTCAGACACGCTACGAGGGCTCCGTCGAGGAAACTGCTCCGATTGGAGCAGCCGTAATGAGTTTCTCGGCGTTCGACGCTGACGAAGAAGCCAAAGACAACGTGTTCACATATCAATTGGCTGAGGAATCGGACTATTTTTATGTGACAACTGATAAGGATTCAAAGCAATCAGCGGTTGGGGTGTTGAGAGTTAAACAGGTTAGTTTTTGGATTTTTGAAAAATATTTTCAAAAAAATTTTATTTTTCGAAATTTCAATGTTTCAGAGGGGGTTATATTTTGATATGAAATTTAATAATTTATGCCATTTATTCTTATTTTTAAGCTGAAATTTGAATATTGAAAAAATTGGAATTTAAATTGTTTTCTAACTTTTTTCTTCTAAAAAAATGACAAAAATTGACATAAATTATAGAGATTTTATAGCAAAAACCAGGTGACACTATAAAGGCTTTAAAATAGGTTTTTGGGTTAAAAATGATTTTTTTAAAGATAATTTTTTGGGTTGGTAAGTTTTTTTAAAAAAATAAATATAATAAAAATACAGTTGCAATAAAAATGTTTTTTGAAAATTTCAAAAATTAGAAAAAATTAAATTTTTTTTTTTCAAAATTTTCAAAAAAACATTTTTTTTTGCATTTTTCTGCAGAATACAGTCATGAGCCATTAAAATAAATCCGCCTATTATACTGTATTTTTTTCTAGAATAATCTGTCTAGTTTTCCTTTTTTCAAGGCCTTCTAGAAGACAGCTGTCCTCTTTTTTTTCCTATTCTAATTGTTTCTCCTTCTTTTATTCTTCCAACGTCATCAATTTTCTTATTCTCTCTGCCTCTTTCCTCAAAACTACAGTAATAAATCATTAAGAAATGAAAAATGAGCAATGACGGGTCATCTGGAGACATTAGAATATGAATTCGAAAGAGGATAATTAACATATTCAATTTCCATTTTATGAAGTTTGTAGTTTGTAGTCTAAAAGTTTTGGAAATTCTAAAAAATTTTTAATTTTAAGGATTTTTTGGAATTTTTTATTTGTTGAAAAAAAAATATTTTTTCGAAAATTTCGAATTTTTTTGAAATTTTGCAATTTTTCGATTTTTTCGAATGTTTTAAAAATTCAAATTTTCTAAAAAACTGTTTTTTAGAATTTTTCCCTTTTTTTTGCCTTTTTTTCCAACTTTATAATTTTCCCATTTAAATTTTTTCTCATATTTTTTTCTCAAAAAGTAATTTTGGCCAATTTTCCACTTCAACAGAGCCTACCTTAAAAAAACTACCTAAAAAGTAGCCCATAATTTATATTGAATCCACTTGAGAAATCTTTTTCCCTCCTCAAATGAAATTAAAAAAAAAACTCTAATTATCCTTCTCTTTTTCGCCTTTTTCCCCCCAAAAGCTTCTTTTACTGAGGGTTAGCCATTTTTGTAGTTTATAGTCTTGTGTTCCATTTCTCAATTCAAAAGAAAAAGCAAAAAATTCCGCGAATTTCGAGCTAAAAATCATAAAAAACGAATGAAAATGAGCCGAGATAGCGCGATTTGTAGCTTTACTGAGGCTTAGGAATTTTTGTAGTTTGTAGCTTAAGCCTCAGTAAAACAGCTTCAAACAGCCGTATTAACGCTTTACTGAGGCTAACACATTCTCGTGGTTTATAGCTTCTTAGCCTCAGGAAAACAGCTCCAAACAGCAGTCGTAGAAACGATTTACTGAGACTTAGAGACTACAAACTACAAAATGTTCTAAGCCTCAGTAAAACTTCAAGTAGCTCTATTTTGGCTCATTTTCGCTCGTTTTTGGCTCAAAATGTGTCAATTTTTTTGCTTTTTTCTTGCAGTTCGTAGTCTCCTGAAAAACTTCAGTGAAAAATTTGCTCATTTTCATTCGTTTTTCAACGATTCGTGGCTCAAAAAATGTTTTTTTTTTCAAAGTTAAAGTTTGTATCTTTAGAACGTTTTCGCGCAGCGCCAGCTGCTCTCCTATTTCATCACAATCAGTGTGGGGGTTATAAATAAATCTCTTTTTTACAATCGGGGGAAAATAAAAAGAAATTTGTAAAAAATCAAAGAAGTGGTGAGTAGTGAGTGTGTGTGGAGGAACAACTGTCACGGAGAGACGACTCATCGGGATGGAGAGGAGTATGGAAACATTCATTGTTGGACCAACAAACACACTCTTTTCTTTTTGGGTTCTTTTTTTCCCTGGAAAATCCTGAAAATTCGGCGAAAAGTAGCCTGGAATCGCGAAAAATTCGTTTAAAATAATGTATTTTTAGTTTTCATATCTGAAAAGTTGTCTGAAAATCGTTTTCCCCCATGATTTCTTCTGAAAAAATGAAAAAAATTCGCTGAAAAAAATAATTTGTGTGTATTTTCTCGTCGCAGTGTTCCGAAGAAACACCATACCTGACGAGCAAACAAACTTTTTCATAGGCGCGCGAACCTTGATTTTTTGAATTTTTTCAGCGATTTTTAGAGCGATTTTCTCATGAGAAACCGATTTTTTAATTCTTTTTTTCACCACGATCATCATGAATCACTTCCCCGAAAAGTTTTAGTATGACATTCTCACTCGGTCGTCGTCGATTGACATACAGCTGATTTGATCTACGAAAGACCCCGCGCGTCCCGCCGAGATTTTTCGCGTTCGATTTGAATCGCATTTTCTTCGAGATTCGTCATCTCTATTCTTCTTCTTCAGAATTCAGAATTCTCCTCCGACGGTGTTCCACTCTTTTTTCCTCAAATTCTACAAAAGAATTTGATCTCCATTGACTCGTAAAGCCACTCTCACTCCTTTTATTGTCATTTTATCGTCTGGAAAGTTCTAGATCTTAGTTATTTTATAGTTGTTTTTTTTTCCTCGAAAACCGGAGACACTTCTACGCTGAATCTTGATAGATTTTCTAATGTAGTTTGTAGTTTTCAAGCTCCCTTGCTTCAAATTTCAACTCGAAAAATTGGAAAATCCCAAAAATTCCCAAAATTTTGAGCTTAAAATCGATAAAAACGGGCGAAAATGAGCTGATTTAAAGCGTTTTGAACTTTTTACTGAGGCTTAGAAATTTGCGTAGTTTGTAGGTTTTATCCTCAGTAAAGCGCTCCTATAGACTTTACTGAGGCTTAGACTACAAACTACAAAACCTTCTAAGCCTCAGTAAAATTTCAAAAGACTGTAAGTCGGCTAGTTTTCAGTCGTTTTTAGCGATTTTTGCTTCAAAAATTTGTCAATTTTTTGTAGTTTGTAGTTTCTAAGCCTCATTAAAAGTAGGATTTTTTGATTTACTCAATATTTGTACCTAAAAAAAGCCGGGATTTCTAAATGTTCAAAATATGCTGTTTTTTTCGGGAAGTTAATATTTTTTCAATATTTTCTTCAAACTTTTTTGACGAAAATTTTGTAATTTTGAGCATTTTTTCAAAAGGCTTGGTTATGTAAACTCGATTTTTTTCAATTTCGTAGATTCGAAAGTTCCTCTTTCAATTTGCTAAATTTTGAGCCAAAAATCAAGAAAAACGGAAGAAAACTAGCCGAGTTACAAGCATTTCAAACTTTACTGAGACTTAGACTACAAACTACAAAACCTTCTAAGCCTCAGTAAAATTTCAAAATGCTGTAAATCGACTAGTTTTCGGCCGTTTTTAGTGATTTTTGGCTTGAAATTTTTCAATTTTTGTAGTTTAAAGTTTCATTGTTCCCTGATTTCTGTGATTTTTTGATGATTTTCACTTTTCCGAAGCTTTTAAAAATATTATATACTTTTTACTAAAAACTTCATATACACTTTTTGGAAAACCGCCTGAAAAAAATCCCCAAATCCCAGAGATTTGCCGGCGGAATCTTCCGGAAACTTTGATGATTAATGGTTTTACACGCTTTTCTCGTCTCACCCGTCATAGTACAAATGCCCCACACCGCCGCCTTCTTTTGCAAGAAGGCAACAATTTTCGGCGGAGCTCTTCCTCCGCCGACGTCTTCTACTACTTCTTCTGAAGTCGTCCTCTTCTTCTCTTTTTGATGGGATTTTGACGAGCTCCCCAGAGGAACGTATACAAGGTTTTCCGTCCTATTCATATATCCCCACGACAAGTGTGTGTGAGTAAGCCACGAAGGACAAGAGAGACGAGTCCTCTCCTGTCACCCATAAAACTTTTTTTCTCTCTCTCTCCCGCCGGAAATGCCGTATTTTATTATTTTTGGGTCCTTTTTGTTTTTGGCCCAAAAATTTTGGGCGTACAAATTCACATCGCTAACTCGAAACCAAGTGGATACTGGATTTCTTGAGGCTCCGAAGGTTTTGTAGTTTGTAGTCCTTAAAATTCCCAACAATTCAAGCCAAAAAACGGTTGAAAACGACCCACGGCAAGCCGAGTTACGACGCGCTGAAGTTTTACTGAGGCTTAGAAACTACAAACTATAAAGATTTCTAAGCCTCAGTGAACATGAAAATAAGCCTGACTTTGCTTATTTTCTCCTTAGTTTTTTGTGGAAAACTTTACTCAGAGACTACAAACTACACCGATTTCTGAGACTCGGTAGAAATTCAACGCGCTTCAACTTTTCTTTTCGTCAACTTTTACCGAGGCTTAAGCATTGTTGTAGTTTGTAGTCTTATTTTTAATTTTTCAATAAATAAGAAAAAGCAAACAATTCCATGAATTTCGAGCTTGAAAACAAGGAAAAATGAGCCAAGTTAGAGCGATTTTCAGTTTTACTGAGGCTTACGAAATTTTTTAGTTTGTAGTGTAAGCCTCAGTAAAAAGATCGAAGCGCTCTTCAGTTTTACTGAGGCTTAGGAAGATTTTGTATTTTAGTCTCGTATTCCCTGAAAATTCTTTTTTTTTCCTATTGACTTTTTACTGAGGCTGAGAGACTACAAACTACAAAATTGTCTAAGCCTCAGTAAAAATGAAAATCACTTTAACTTGGCTCGTTTTCACTCGTTTTTAGCTCAAAATTAGTCTAATTTTTTGCTATTTGTGTAGTTTCTAGTCTCTAAGCCTCAGTAAAAATGAAAATCGCTCTAACTTGATTCGTTTTCAAACATTTTCAGTGGTTTTTTGCTTAATTTTCTAGATTTTTTTGCGCGAATTTTTCGAAAATTCGGCTTCCACACGAATCCTCCCTCCCTGTTCCAGTTCCAGCCTTATTTTCTACGTCGTTTGAAGCTTTAGAGACGAAGCGATTCATTCGAAATGCGTTCTCAATTCACAGCTGGACATATAGATATATAACTGGACAATTCGATGGCCTGTCCTCATACCCAAGACGCCGTTCTACTGTCTCCAACCGATTCCTTCGCCTTCTCTCGATAAGCCAGTTTCCATTCCAAAACTTGGAATAAGAGAGAAGGAGAGATTAGATGCGAACGATTATGACCCGGAGGAGGAGGTTCTGTTATTGGCAGCAGCCTATGGATTTCGCAGCGAAATTTATATGTTTCAAACGATAACTATACGAGAATCGCCCCCGCTGAAGAGGAGAAGGAGGAGATTAGCCATCATCATTTTATCACTTTTCCTTGTTTAATTCTCCCATTTTCGGATGATTTCTGGAGTCTTCTTACTACAGACGAGCTAGGTCAACTCTCAATGGAGCGAGGTTCCTGCGTTTTATTAGGTTGGCGGGAAAGTCTTTGTCACTTTTTCAATAGTTTATTTCTCAAAGAAAAAATAACCGAATAATTAATTATATTGTCCATCATTATCAACAACATGTCTCCAACGTTCCCTCAATTTATGGATTCCATTGCGGTAGAATCCAGCCGGGCGTGAGGCAAAGTATTGTTTGAGTGCCGCTTCGACCGCTCCACGGGAATTGAAGCTTCTTCCTTCGAAGGCACGTGTCATATCGCCAAATAACCAATAGTCGGAAGGAGCAAGATCAGGAGAATACGGGGGGTGAGGGAGAACATTCCATCCATATCCCATCAGCTCCTGCTTCACTTGTTTCGAAACATGTGGGCGAGCGTTATCATGTTGATAGTACACTTTCTTGTCTTTCAGGGCCGAACGGTCGACTGCTTTCTTGAGGTTTCGTAGTTGAGTAGTGTAGAGGTCTCCAGTTATTGTTTTGCCCTCGGGCAGAAGTTCCCAGTAGATGGGGCCGTCCACTCCCCACCACACAGAGAGCATAACTTTTTTCGGATGAAGGTCGGGTTTTGGGACATCCTGTGGGCTCTCTCCTTCTCCAACCCACTGGGATTTCCTGTGTGATTATCGTAGAAGACCCACTTCTCATCTCCGGTTATTAGCCGGTCCAGCCATCGATCGCCCGCGTGGAGAGTGAGAAGAGTAATCGAATCGTCGACTCGGCGGTCAAGGTTGGCTTGAGTCAGGTGATGAGGTATGAATCGACCAAAAAGTTTTCTCATTCCAAGAGACTTCAAACCTTCAAGGACTGTGCTATGGTGAACTCCGAATGTGACAGCTAGTTCACGGCTAGATTGAAATGGATCCGATTGCAATGCGTGCTTCAGCTTGTCCAAATCCAACTCACGGGGTCTCCCAGAGCGATCCTTTTCATCGAGCGAGAAGTCATCTTTTTCGAAACGATGGAACCAATTGCGAATAGTATTGTAGTGAGGGGCATGTGTGTTGTACACATTCTTCAAGAAAGTTTCCGAATCCTTCATCGTGGTGTGAGATAGGAAGAGGTAAATCAAAACATGTCTGATGTGAATAGCAGTGGGAACAAACATATCGTTTCAATTACAGATGAGGAGCAGGGAAGGAGATGGGGACTTGTTTATATGGAAGGTTCTTATCACCTTGTTATTCACTAGAGTCGATATCATACACAGCCTCCATATACGAGAACAGTGATTAAACAAACAGAGTGACAAAGACTTTCCCGCCAACCTAATACGTTAGAAATCCGCAAGACTTTCAAATTTTTGAAACAAAGTGGGTTTGGTTTCAAATCTTTCTAGATTTTTCTCTAGAAAATCCAAGTTTGTCGCAGGCAAGATGATCCGTTTTCCGCTCAAACGACCGCCCGTTTAGCTTTGTTGTAGCAAAATGCCCGGGGAAATTCGATACTCCCAAATACGGTGCACGAGGAATCCGCTTGTTTCTCTCGAAAGAATGTTTTTGACTCATGGCATTGCTAAGCCATTTTTCAATGAAAGCCTTGAGTAGCAGGGCAGTTGTCAGTGTAGCAACTGGTTTGCTGCCTGTAAATCAAAGCCTGTGGCGTAATCCACGTGGCAGTCGGAGCAGTCAGCCAGAGCTCAGACCTACACTGCAGGCCCTGGAGTCCGAGAAATATTCAATTTTCGTGAAGTTTCAAGTTGTTTTCTGGAATCTCAAGGATCAATAGGACTAGCTCAGTCCCTATTTCAAATCGGAACTTTGACAGGACCACAGCTTTAGAGTCCAAAGCACTTGGTGTCTCTCTTATCACCCAATTGTGATCTTTTTGAAAATGGGCGAATTGCAGCCGCCGAGAGGTCATTAGAACTGATTGATTTACGATGTGCTAGCACCCTCCCATCGGATGTGTGTGTCTTTTTCTCGCCGAGATGACCCCCCCGCACTTTTTATTGTCTTTTCTTTCTTCTTATTCACACCTCCAACAACTACTAAACCACACATACCAATGGCCAAGAGACTGGCGATATGTTTCTATAGGTTCATTGTGTATTTAGCCTAGATTTTCTAATTAAATTCTCAGATTCCAAGCCTCAAAAGTGTCAAAAATTGAAAAATGCCGAAAATTCCAAGAATTTTGAGCTAAAATTCGTTGAAAACGGTGGGAAATGAGCCGAGAAACCGCGTTTTGAAATTTTTTACTGAGGCTTAGGCTTTTGTGTAGTTTGTAGTCTCCGAGCCTCAGTAAAAATTTTGAATCACGATAACTCGGTTTATTCTCAACCGTTTTCAGTCGCTTTTAACTAGAAATGCGTCAAGTTTTCAGCTAGACTACAAACTACAAGATTTGCTCAGCCTCAGTATAATTTTAAAACGCTGTAAATCGGCTCATTTTCAATCGTTTTTAGCGATTTTTGGCTCAAAGTTTTCCAATTTTCTTGTAGTTTATAGTCACAAGAGACACTATCAGGGGAAATACTAGTCTCCGAAGTTTGGTCCGTTATTTAGAACCGCTTTTTGAGCTATTTGAAACGTGCAATGTCTTTTGGAACCTAATTTGACCAGTTAGGACGGTTTTTAGGGTATTTTAAGGTGCTGTAGGGTACTCCAAGGACCTTTAGACCCCTCAATTGACCCCTCTTGGCAACCGACTGTCTCGTAATACCCCCTTTTTTGTTCTCCATCTCCGAGACTCGGTATATGTAATTAAAAGGCGATGTCTAGGGTTTTTTTGTCTTCTTCTTCTTCTTCATTTCTTGTGGAAAGAATAAAGAAGGAATAAGCCCCACCGAACCGAACCGAATGAACGCCAACTGGTTTTTTTTCTTGATGTTGTCTTTAGATTGGCCTCTTGTTGATTTTTACTAAGTATTTCTATAGTAATGACACGAAGAGAGAGAGAGAGAGAGTAATACAAGTCGAAAGTTCTCGAATTTCCTTGGCTTCCGAAGCTGTGTACACCTTCTGAAGTCACTTTCGTTGAGAATTTTAGTTGGAAATTCCAAATTAGGTGCCGTTAGAGCGAATTAATTACATCCCCACTAAACAAGGTTGTTGCATTTTAATGAACTTCAATTTGGAGTGACCTAGTTTAGAAATGACTGTTAGAACCAAAGTTTAGGTCCTGAATTTGGCAAATAATTCGGATGGGACAACAATTTTGGAATCATTGGGATACACAGCATTCTAGGGGTACAAAATGCCTGAAAAAAACCTCGAATTTTGCGGGCCAGAAGGACCAAATGTCTGTCAGACCAGGAGAACCTTCTGATTTGAGTTTTACCTAAGCTTTGGTTTTGGTCCTAAAGTTAGTACTAAAAGGACCAATAGAATCGATTCTAGGATCTTCTAGGATCCAATTTTGATCATATCTCTTGTTTGTTATAATTGGTACAATTGGATGATTAGTATCTATCTAGTAATGGAATGTGTACTATGTATGCGCATATGTTGTTATTGGGTGAGAGAAAGATCTAATCTCACAATCAGAAAGTTGCTGATACTTTTTAGAGATAAAAAATTCGGTAATTTGATATTCTAGTCGCACAGGTAAAATGCGAACGGATCCGTTACGGACGATCAGCGTTCGCGCGCGGTTGAAATAGGAACCGTATACGGACCACACGCGACCCGTTTTCAGAAAACCACAGCACATTATTTCGTATTTCTCCATATTCTGTCCGTTTGCGAACTCCGTATCCGATCCGATTGCGAATGATAAACAAACGGATCCGTTCGCGAACTTAAACTTTTGTCTGATTCGCGAACGGATCCGTTTGCCCATCATTCGCAAGCGGATCGGATACGGAGTTCGCGAACGGACAGAAAACGGAGAAATACGAAATAATGTGCTGTGGTTTTCTGAAAACGGGTCGCGTGTGGTCCGTATACGGTTCCTATTTCAACCGCGCGCGAACGCTGATCGTCCGTAACGGATTGTTCGCGAATCACCTGTGTCGTACGCAAGGCGGGATTTTCAGAAATTTCGGTTATAAAGCTGCCTAGTGGGTTTTTTGAACCTGAATAAACTAAGAAACTCGATTATTGACACCAACTTTTGTCAAACTTTGCCTAGAGAACTGAAAATTGAACCAAAATGATCAGCAAAATGCGAGGAATCTTTTGCAATAGGAATCTTAATTTCAGCCAAATTTAACAGTCGTTGAAGTCAAGCTGAAACTAAAATTCCTGGTGAACACGATTTCTGACATTTTGCTGATTATTTTGGTCCATTTTTCAGCTCTCTAGGCCAATTTTGACATAAGTCATTGTCAAAAATTGCATTCCTCTATCTAGATTATGGAATTATTAACAGTACGACATTCGTCGGGGTTTATGTATGGTTAACATATTTTTTTTAAAGAATCTAGACGGAGAGGCTTGATTTTTGACGATCACTTTTGTCCCAAATGACCTAGAGCGTCGAAAATTAGGCCAAAATGATCAGCAACCTGCTAGGAGGAATCGTTTGCAATAGGAACCCTAGCTCCTAGTGCAAACAATTCCTCACATTTTGCTGATCATTTTGGTCCAATTTTCAGTTGTCTAGCCCAATTCTGACAAAAGTCATAGTCAAAAATCGAACTTCTTTGTCTACCGTAAACCCTGTAATAGAAGCCCACCCAAACCGTTAACTTTGAGCTCAATTATCTCGACTCCTTTAAAAGATATAAAAGTTTTGTCAACTGATAAAATGTTTGTCATAATATCAGAAACATTTTATCTATTGACAACTCTTTGATATCTTTCCCTGGAATCGAGATAATTGAGCTCGAAGTTGACAGTTTGAATGGGCTTCCATCAGAGGAGATACTATTATTATAGGAGAGTTGTCCCGTTGGAAACTACTAACTGAAATCATCGCAAAATCTTCCAGAATAATCTAGAAATCTTTTTCAGTAGCTAGGATAACTGTCACTTTTCGATTATCCT